GTCTAAATGCACAGTTTCCATATGCGCAATTTCGGTGCCCCATTTTCGAAGTATGAAAGAAAGGCTGCATTTCTTGATTCATTCTGAACGTTTGGAATAAACTTTTTTGTTTATTTATTCTTAAGAACGTTCCTGAACATAATACAAAAAAAGAAGGTAGTTCCATTGTCACTTTTTCGTCGCCATGTTAACAACTTGACAATTAAGTAGATTGTGACATTTCGTCCTACCATACCCAATATCCATGATTCAATAAGACAAGGTTGTGTAATTTGTGACAGCTAAAATTTGACTCTCCTTTATCTAGATTTGTATTTTGGAAGTAGGAGAAAGGGGAAGAATGTGATCGCCTTTTGCGAAAACGCTAGTAGAAAGGTACTACAAAAAGTACGCAAAGTATACAATTAGAAGTAAAATGTGTATTACTTATTCTATGCGAATTTGGGATATATTTGGTGTTTAATGGTAATACTAAACAATACATAAATATGTGCATTTTTGATTTAAGTTACTCATCATTTCCTGAAACCGACCGTTCAGCTATGCGCAAACTAAAACTGCAGATCGATAGAACTTAAAGTTCAGTTTTTACATTTTTTAAATAATTATATCCTACGAACTGTAGGTATAACCGATAATAAAACTAATGACGCTACCATAAAGATAATTAATTTGTCTTTCAGCTGATGTACATAATTTATAGCTTCTTGTATTTTTAAACCAAAACCACTAAAAAACGAACAAATGTTATTTTTTCATGAAATAATCTTTTTTGAAAAAAGCTGCGAAATTGGTAAAGAAATTTATATTATTTAGAATGTACAAGTTATTATCTCTAATTCGATAGTACATATTTTATCATGATGTACTTTAGGGTTTCAACAATTTAGTGATAATAAAAAATACAAATAAACAAAGCAAATAAACCTCTTATATCTTCGTTATTTTTTGCCTGCGCCAAATAAATTTGGTATCGTTGTAATCAGCGTAAAAAGTTCTATCAATCGGCATTTTTGGTTATTTTATAGCTGAACGGTCACTATTCTACACTTGTTCTACGAAATTGCGCAAAAGAAGGTGATGCCAACGAATATTTAGTATGATGAATTTCTGGTTTTACTACTAATATCACTAGAAACTGCAGACTCACACTCTGCACAAGTAAAGGAGCCGATTTTATGTGTTGGAGCGAGAAGTCTGTTTTATTACAAAACCTTTCTATTATTGAATCATGTCCAATATCTAAAATCCTCCTTTGGTTATTACTATTATTTTTGTTTATTTAGTACCATTTTGCTCTTGGAATCGAAATTTGATCAAGCAAAAGGTATTTTACTTGTACAATAGTATTGGGTTATTGGGCCGTATGCATAAAAACTGTGCAATTGCTTTTTCTTGAAATATATCTTTCACTTAAATTTATTTGAACAACTTGAGTACAAGGTCTTAATTTTTAAGAAAAAGCATTTGCTTAGGTTTTGTGCATCCCATTGTGTCCAAACGCTTAACCCAAAGCAAAAAATGTTAGCACACACGTGTGGTCAAACAATTAAACGTTAGTTTAAAATAAAGATTTCAAATTTTAAGATACAAATTTATGAATAAATTCGGTTTGAAATATGAACCTTTTTGTAAAAAATACTTTGGTCAGTGTAGCCGAGTTGGACTTACATTTTCTCTGCCAAAATGCTGATTTTACTCCATTTTTCAATGAATCCCCCCTCCGTCTCCGCTCCCCACACTAAAATCGTTGCATAAATAACCGAACATTTCCCCTTTTGTTTTTGAAAGATAAGTGGTCTAATGCTCCATAAGATGATAAATGTGTTTCTAGTTTTCAGAGTTGCCAGATATGAGGATTTCGCCCCATTTTGGGGATTTCTGAAATCATTTGGGGATAGATTTTTTCGTTTGGGGATGTGGGGATTTGATGGGGATTTTTGTTTGGTTTAAAATATTCATATTGAAATTAAAATACATATATTTTACTGCCTTCCCTTAAAAATTTCTCAAACAAAGATTTTCTTAGTCAAAGTATTATTCGTGGAAAATGCCTGTTTTAATGGCTTTGGCTGAACACACAATTTTCTCTCACTTCATTACACCAAATTGTAAAAGGATCGCTGTGATACTAGAAGATATAGAGGCCTCCTCACTCCCACAGGGACTCAAACGGTGGTCGGCAAATTACCTGAGTGGTCGACACTCGTCAGTAATTTTCAGAGACAGAACTAGCAAGCCACGTAAAATTAAACAGGGGGTACCATAGGGTGGTGTCCTGTCCCCGCTACTGTTTAATTATTACATCTCAAAGCTTCCTCAGCCATCAGAGGGTGTTAATATAGTCTCGTATGCTGACGATTGTTCGATCATGGCGTCTGGGAATGGAATTGATGACTTGTGCTTGAAAGTAAACGGTTACCTCTCCGAACTTTCTCGCTTATTCACTGCAAGGAGCCTTGCCCTATCCCCTGCGAAATCCTCGGCAACTCTTTTCACCACCTGGACGAAGGAGGTCAGACTGCCACTGGGTATTCACGTCGATGGCGTAACAATACCGACGGTGAATAACCCGAAAATCCTCGGAGTTACCTTCGACAGTCTGCTCTCCTTCTCGGCGCATACAACCGCAATTGTCAACAAAGTACAGAGCCGCAACAATGTCCTCAAGTCGCTGGTCGGCAGCACTTGGGGCAAAGATAAAGAAACGTTGTTGGCAACATACAAGGCAATTGGCCGGCCGGTTCTAAACTACGCAGCGCCCGTATGGTCGCCGGGGACTAGCAGGACGGAGTGGATGAAGCTACAGACCTGCCAAAACATGACATTACGAACTGCGACAGGATGCCTCCTGATGACGCTTCAACACCACCTTCATGACGAGGCCCATATGCTCCCAGTAAAGGAGCATAACATAATGCTCTGCAAACAGTTCCTTGCTGGGAGCCACAGACGTGGCCATCCCAGCGGACAACCGCTCGCGTAAGAGCTCTCGCCACGGCACGTCAGGAGGCATCTTTACGAACTGACGGACAAAGTCCAGAGGTATATCAAACAACCTCTGGACCCGTCAACCTACCGACAGGCCCTGAACGGCATTCACAGGGAATCAGTCTCAAGTTTGTAGACTCCCGCCCTGTGAATGCCGTTCTAGGCACACAACCACCGGACGTGGACGGGACAGAACTTTGTCTGTCTCGGGAGACCCGCACTACAATAGCCCAACTTCGCAGCAGGCTCAACAGCTACCTGAGCAGAATCAACGAGGATGTGCCCAACCAATGGCCCGGCATGTGGAGAGTCGCCACATGACTCCCGGCACCTCTTCACATGCCCTGAGAACCCCACTCAGCTAACGCCCCTTTCCTTATGGACAGCCCCTGTGGAAGTAGCACACTTCCTGGGCCTCCCCCTAGCTGAAATGGACGACAACGTTGATGGATGAACCGCCCCGAACGGGGCTTAGTAGTCGCTACAACAACAACAGGATCGCTGTGATTGGCATTTACCGAATGGACGGCATATATTTCTGATTTCCTTAGGGCAGTTTTCTCAAGTAACCTGTAACTTTAAAGCTCAGTTTATATTTAAAGGTTGCATTAAAATTTATGATTGTGTCTAAAGTAAAGCACTTTATTATCGGCTTTAAATAGGTTTACAACCAAGAAACATACATACGTCAAAAAACGATAATAGAAATACTCAACTTTAGACATAGCTTTATTTTTAATCCAACCTTTAAACATAAAGTGAGCGTTAAAGTTAAAGGTTACTTCAGAAAACGGCCCTTATGCCCGTATGATACTACGTTTTTTTTCTTGTATTTCGAGTGTGTTTTACGCTGTATTTTGAAAGAAAGAGAAGGTCACATACAATTTCAGTACTTGTGTAAGCGAGTAAGCTATATACCAAAAAACAAACGAAAAACAAACTAGGTTGTTAAAAACAGTCCGGCCAACTTGTATTTCGTTAGGTTTTTTTGACAGATGGCTGTATTTCGTTAGTTTTTTTACACAGCTGTTTGCATTTTGACATACGAGAGATTTTCTAAGCATACAATGGAAATACAAGTTTTATCTATTGCAACAAATTGTTTGCTAAACGCTGCTGCCTTAATACAGCGTAGGGAAAAGAAAAAGACAAAAAAAAATATTCTGCGCAATGGCTTTTAAAAAGAGAACTGGAAGGTAAGTTTCGAATTCCACATTATATACACATGTATATAGTTCGTTTTTGTAATTATCAAAAATACTTTTCATAGGATTTAGCCATAAACTGTTAAAGGAAATTGAGTGAGTCCTTCACAAAAATATCTTAAGAATGACTCCAGCTCAGTTTGCATTCTTATAAGAAAAAGTACGCCCCTATATTAGCAAGCAGGATACAAAATTCAGGAACTGCATAGGAGCTGCGGAACGGCTGCAGCTGACATTGCGATATCTATCCACTGGTAAGATATAATATTTTCTTGGTAATTTTTAGTACCGACATACATATGTATGTACATATTTCCAAAATTAGGTGAAACCCAAAGGTCACTTCAATTGCCGTTCCGAATTCAGCAGTCAACCATTTCCAGAATTTTAAAGGAATCAATTCCCGCAATATATTTGGCGTTAAGGGAGGAGTATTTGAAATTCCCTGCAAGTGAGCAAGATTGGCGTGGTATTGCAAAAGACTTTTATCAGATGTGGGGATTCCCGAACTGCATCGGCGCTTTAGATGGTAAACTAACAATTAACACTTTTAAATTCACTCAACTGATGAAACGTCTCAGGAAAGCATTGCAGAATACTGCCAGTGAGGAAAGCAGGATCTACGTATTTCAATTACAAAGGATACCATTCATTTGTATTGATGGCAATCGCTGATGCCCACTATCGTTTTATTTATGCTGATGTCGGTGTTAATGGGAGAGTGGGTGATGCTGGAATTTCGTTGAACTCGGACCTGAAATACGCTATTGAAAAAAATGAAGTACATATACCAGCCCCATGCACGCTCCCTTTCATGTCAACTCCCTCGCCTTTTGTGCTTTTAGCCGATGATGCCTTTGCTCTAAAAGACTACTTAATGAAACCTTACTCTCATCTAAGACTATCACCAAGCGAACTTAAATACAACAACATACTTTCGGGGACAGGCGCGTTGTTGAAAATGCTTTTGGCATTCTTGCGAACCGTTTTCGAGTTTTATTTTCACCCATCCATCGCGCTCCAGCTGCAGCCATTCAGATTGTATTATCTTGCGTATGTGTGCACAACTTTTTAAGAACAGAAAATGTGAAAAAGAAAACTACGTTTGACGCCATTTCCGAAAGTGAAATAGATGCAATAATAGATAACAACTATACAACAACCGCTTCTGAAAGAAATGCGTCAAAAAGGAGCGCTGAAGAAATAAGAAAAAATTTCGAAAACTATTTTTCTGCGGTAAATTAAAATATCGTTTCATTGTTTAAATAAACCAAAACTTTTCGTGTTGGAAATTTTCTATACTAGTAGAAGCAACAATTGGTTTATTTGGTGATTAAATAAATGAGTACAATGTCTTCAAATTATGTACATACCTAGCTAATACCTGCCTACTTAGCGGTGCACCGTGAGTAGTACAAACACTGTTACATTTTTGATTCAATTAGAGCAACCAAATATTTTAATGAAAGTAATAATAAGGTAAAAAAGTGGTAAGAATAATCAAAATACATATTCACTCGGCAAAATAATAACTCTGCCTCCTTTCGTAAAGTTTGACTATTTTCCTTTTGTTTATTGAACTTTAATAATTTACTTATAAAAATACACCCCATTAATTAAAAATCTTTAAACTTGGCAATATGTGGTGCGTTTATAATTATGACACGGGATGTACAAACAAAACCATATCAATAAAACTTTTAAACTTTAAACGAAATTCAGGAAAACTCATCAAAATTTCGATTTTTTTCTTTTAAATATTAAAAACAAAATTGCATGTCTGTGTAGATGTGTAATTTTTATGTAATAAATGGCAAATTTCAAGTGGCTTAAGATCACCGTTAATTTTGGTTATTGTTTTTTTTAAGCTGAGGGCGCCGCAACAACCCATTTTGTTTTTGAAATACTTAAAAGGAAGTTCGAAATTGTTATGTAATTTTATGCATTTTCTTGAATTTTGTTTAAAGTTTAAAGCTTCTAGTGATATGTGTTTGGTTGTAGAGTTAACTAAAGTTTTATAAATAAGTTATTAAAATTCAATAACCTACGGAAAATGGTCAAAACATGACAAAAAGGGACACTCCTATTTTTGTCTATGAGTATACATACATACATATAAATAGTCATTGTGTTACATAAGCCCATTCCGTTTCAATTGCTCACTTTGCAGATCCATCAAAATGTCATGCATTTGTTTCTTCCTTTGAGTTGCAAGTCGGGGTCCAGTTTTACAATTTCTTCACCCATGTATATCCCAAAACTGTTTGCCTTTTCGTCAGTGTTATTTGTTTTTGATGCAACATGAAAGGCATTTGTTAAATTTTGTGATGCTTCGATTAAAGCAGAGGCGTTTTCATCCAAATCATTATTAATTTTTGTTCTTCGTTTTCTTGTTGCATGGACCAACTTTCTAGTGCTATTGTTGTTATTGTCATCAAACCGACCACAGTTTTGCGAAGTAACCAGAGGTGGAGTTACAATCTCATCCGATATGATTTTAATTGGTGTTGCATCACTATTAGTGTCTTCTGTAGAGATGTTTTTAGTATCTTGGAGCGACTGGATACTGCTGTTACTTGTAACAAGCCTGGATCGAAACATTCTGCAGGCTGCAGTTGCTCCCCAAGCTTACGCGATGGATTGGGATCAGGGTCCAGGTTCTACAAGAGAATGAAAATACTAAGCAAATTTTACGTAGCACGCGAATCGACGCTTTGCCCGGTTTCACACAATAAAAGTCGTACCTGCAAACTCCACTTATTAAAATTATTCACTGATGGTGTATGCTCATTCATATGTTGTAGGAATTTCAAAGCTTCATAGAACTTCCAGCTGGTCTGTACGTTTTCGTCTCCGCCGGCACCGCTTCTCTTTGCCTTGTCCATCCTCTGCTTCTCTGAACTGAAATATGACTTGATGTTGCACCACTTGTGCCTAACTTCATCTTTAAATACATATATGTATTATACAAACATATAATATATATTTTAGTTATTACATATGAACTTGCTAAAAACTTACCGCATTGAAATGGTACATTTGCTGTGAACGTTGAGTTCATTTCATCCACCAAATCGAGCCAAAACTGCTGCTTTTTATATTTGTGCTTATATGATGGTAGC